CTCACATTTTAGTAACTAAAAGTTGGGGGAAGGAGAAAAGTGTTTCAAACATTGGCTCTTTATATACTTTTTTCTGGCTTTAAAAACTGAGCTTTAAAGATACAGTGACTGGTTTTGATAGATTCCAGAAGGTTCTATAGTATCTTGATAATTTTTTGAAAAGGCTATTGTTTGGTATATTTTTTGTTAAGACATGTTCTTTATATAAGACATTGATGATTTTATTTGCTGGAAAAAGATAAGAAAGTTATGATGAAAAGGGAGAGAGAGAGACAAAATGTATTTTCTAATGAACAAAAGTATGATAATAACGGCCATAAGCACGTTCTTGACTCTTAGCTTCAGCCATCATATTTACTAGTGACTGAATATGATGTAGGAAGAAGCCAACATTCTCAAACGATGTCAAGTAGTTCATTGTAGGAATTATTGGTGTAATCAAAGGACGCAAAGGAGAAAAGTCATTTTCCTCCAAATAAGCCCAGTTGTCCGAGGAGAACTAAAGAAAGTATGTTAGTAAAAAAGCAGGGTGAGAAAGAAAAAGGTCACGTACAGAGGAAGAAAGGCCAGTTGAACTTGTCTGAAAAGAGGATTGGCCAGGCGCCAGCTTGCTTATAGAAAGCCAGCATACGATAACCGACGGTTATAGTATGGCTAGGCTTGGCAGATCTTGGCAATCCAACTAGAATAAGAGGAATTAGAAATAATTTGTGTAAGTTTGTATTTGGGAAGTACTTTTAGCCAATTCATTCAGCTTTCTCTTGTAGCCAAGTTAATTAAGGCTACCACCATTCTTGTAATGCAAGTATGCACACAAGATAGCTCGGATAGACTTGATTAATTTTTGGTCAAAAGCTTCAAAGGGGTTCCACTGATTGCATGGTTGATAATTTGCTCTGGTTGCTGCTCGTTGTAGTTACGGATATAACTAAAAAAGTTTACGCCTTCTATGTCTTCGTCTCTGTGAATGCAACAAGCTGATGCAGTAGCAACCGTAGTGGTATTGAGCTCGAGGATGACCGAAGTGAGAGGAGCACCATGTTTAGGGGTAGCCAAAGTATGGAACTTCTTGTAGACTATACTTGGATGAAGGAATATCAATAGACTGAGAAATAATGGGATAAAGAAGGGTCACCTTTAGCTAGTTGGTTACTTGTGGACCAAAAATTGCGGTAGAAGGGGTCCTCACGCATTGCTGCTTCCCAGGGTTGGAGTTCCTCGACGTCGGAGCTACATATTATTTAATTTTAGTAAGGAAATGATCATTTTAAGTATTAAAAATGCTTACGCTTCATCTTCAGTAGGAGTCAAGTAGACGACTTCTTCGACATCTTCTTGTTCTTGTTGTTGTTATAGAATCATTTTCGGCATGGCGACCTGGTTGCCACGGCGAAAATGATGACAACGATGACAATAGAAATTAATTTCAAGTGGCGACCGGTGACAACGGAATGACAAAGGGATTCGGCCAATGTAATTGGTGGAAAATGGCGAATTTACTGAGGAACAGCAAAGGGCGCTCCACTTTTTCTTTTTTTTCCACAAAAAAAAAATACTTTACTATATTCTTTTTTTAATGTAATAGCAATGACGGTTTCAAAAAAAAAGGTAACACATCTTATGACGACCTCGCTGAAGAACATTCTGGCATTGGGGAGGGAGGCCGTGTTTTAATTAGTAGATGGAGCAGAATTGTGCTGACGGATTTCGTTTCTATAGGAAATGGACTCGCTCTAACGATTACTGTTTGAATCTGGTGTAAATCTACAAGGAAAAGAGGTAAAGGCTAGCCGTCTTTTTGCTCGTGAACGTTCTGTACGGCCTTGTGCGTGTTTTTTTGTTTCTTGTGTTAATGATTTCCTGTACATTGTATAGCCAAGATGGACAATGGCTGTGCTATTTTATATACAGCAGCATATATGAGCAGCAATAACCACACAAAGCGACAACGGTCTCAAGATCCACTGATTCGAATTGTACACAACAACCACCAATCGAACGCGCAGCGTCTTCCGAACACGACGATTGTTGTAGCCTGTCTCTGCGATGATTTTGGAAGGAGTAACGGCAGGAACAGTGGTGGATATTGTTATACACCAGCAGCAAAAATAGCAGTAACAACTACGAAGACGACGACGGTCTCATGCTACACTGATTCGAATTGCGTACAGCGACTACCAATCGAGCTCGCAACGTCTCCTAAACACGACGATTGTTGTTGCGTGTCTCTGCGATGGGCTTTTAAGGAGTACGAACAACAACAGTGGAGCCAGTGCTATGTTCTTATATACCAGCAGCAAAAATAACAGCAATAAACACACAAAGCGACGACGGTCTCACGATCCACTGATTCGAATTGTACACAACAACCGCCAATCAAACGCGCAGCGTCTTCTGAACACGACAACTGTTGTAGCATGTCTCTTCGATGGTTTTTGAAAGAGTAACAGTAGGAACGGAGATGGGTGTGCGATTGTATTATACTCTACTGGCAAAAATAATAGCAGCATTCACTAAAAACGATGACGATCTTACGACCCACTGGTTCAAATCGCACACAACAACCACCAATCGAACGCGCAGCTTCTTCTGAACACGACGATTTTTGTCCTATGGCACTGCGATAATTCTGGAAGGAGTAGGGACAGGAACGGGGATGGATATGCGATTCTATTATACACCAGGCAACAAAAGAAATAAATTAGCACCCACCAAAGAGAACGACGTTTTTTGCGATCCTCTACTTTTATTCTCTGTCTCTTTACTACTATCGTCATCCTCGTCATCATCAAATCACTACTACATTATCATCATCACGGGCACCACACTGCCGCAAAAATGAATTTGTCTTGTCATCTGTTGCGTTATATCTACTTGAGCTGTGTATGTTCAGCAGGAGTGCTCGGAGAAATGGTGCTTCCGGCGCCATTGGTGTTTTTCATTAGGCAAAAACAAGGGACCGGCCATAGTTATGATGATTTTAATGCGATCTAGTAACCCTAGATGACTTATTAGCCAAGATATATCAGGATAGCCAAATTAATTTATATTGAAATAATTCATGCACGAATGTCTTGGCATGTATACATTTAAATTTTTGAAACAAATAAAAATTGAATTTCTTTTAATATAAAAATAATACCACAGAATATAAAGCAAAATATATTTGTTATATTTTTTATTTTTATTACTTCAACAATCGACATGAACCTACTCAACCTTCTCGCATTCTTAGCTATTATGGCTGAATTTGTTCCTATTTTAGGAATTACATTGACGCTCTTAATTGAAAGAGCAAAACACCTTACTGAAAACCATCAGCATATTGAGTATGAACCTCTTGTCACACAACTGAGGTCAGAACTCGAAAAAGACCTTACATAGGCTAAAGTAGATAAAAAACCTAAAGATAATGCACGCAATAAAATCATTGGAAGAATTCGAGCATATGTGAGATTCCTTAAATCTTCAAATCCTCAATTTTCCGATGCAATGTTAAATGATAACACTTCCAGTGCAGCTACCTCACAGGGTGGGAAAGAATTCCGCTTTCAAAACACTAAGGGCTTGTTCACATATATTTGTAAAAATTTCCATTTAACAAAAGAACAGATATTAGAATGGTTTACTAAACATGACCGTATTGGTTATAAAATTGAAAAGGCAATTGCATGTGATGAAATTGCACCTGAAATAGGCGAAAAACATATGCATATATGGATACAATTAGATGAACGATTTGATACTAAAACCGCACGTAAGTTTTTCACTATTGATGGTATCACTCCAAACATTAAACCAGGTGGTAATCCACAAAAATCTATCAGTTACTGCATTAAAGGAAATAATTATATTGCTTATAATATGGACCCAAACTACGAAATTAAAACTAGAAAAATGCATCAACAATTACTTGTCTATCAATTAATTAACAAGCAGCTTACTATGAGAAAGGCAACAGAAATATATCCAGAATTACTACGGAAATATAATACAGTAAAGTCTAATCTTAATAGCTATTTTCATGATGCTGACATGGAAAATACTCCTAGAAATTATTTGTATCAACATCCACCTGCCTCGCTTCGCTCGGCTGAATGAGCCCCTTCGCTGCGCTCCAGGTCATTCAACGGATTGGATGTTTCCTGGGGGTTCCCCCCAGACCCCCAAGGTGGGGGGTTCCCCCCCACACCCCCCTTCTAAACCCTAACCAAAGCTCGCTTCGCGAGCTTACTTACTGCTACGCCTACCTACAACCCGAAACTCGTTCGCTTCGCTCACTGCTACAACTGCTACTACACTAAACCCTACAGAAGTTAAAGATAGCGGACTATAAGTTTTACTAATGGCAGGCATTGTGCGAAAGAAATAAGAAATCTAAAATGATATGTATACAAAAGTGAAAGTATAAGAGCAGGAAAAAGAGTGGGGAGAAAGGGCGAGGTCTAAGATGTAGCAGCAGTAGCATCGTTGTCTGTGTGTGTTTGGGTTTGAGATGGTGATTGTTGTGGTGGGTGTAAGAGCACTTCGTGGTAAACGATGTTTGTCGTAGCAGGGACATCTGTAGTGGATAATTCTGACATATCGACAGAAATACGCAAATTATCTGGGTTGGTTGCTCGTGAAAGAGCAACATACAATTGACCATGAGCAAACACAGGCTCTTGCAAACGGATGCCAACATGGGTTAATGTCTGTCCTTGTGCTTTATGTATGTTCATGGCGAATGCGGGGCGAACAGGGAATTGGCGTCAGCAAAGGATGAATGGATATTCACCCTCTGTGGTACACATATTAATTCGAGGAAGATAGTGTTCCTCACCGTCGTGGCCTCGATCTATCCTTTTGACAACAATGCAATGATCTAAAAGAGCTGTGATGAAAACTTTGGTCCCATTGTAAAGACCTTCATTAGGATTGAGATTTCTCATAAGCACTAATGGCATTCCCACTTTAAGATCAAGAGCATGTTGCGGGATACCACTGGCACTTAAAGAGCGAAGATATTCAGGAGGATAGCTGGCGGCGGCGACGTCTGGATCGTCTGCGTCAATAATACGGTCAGTCGAAAGATACTGCCTGCTCTGGCCAGGGAAAAGCTCAAACGCACAATCATTGATCTCGTCAACGTCAACATCTTTAGCTGCTAAAATAGCACGATTACTGAATTCTTGAGGTTGCGGATTGGGCTGACGGATCGATGGGTAAATGGCATCAATTAGCGCGACTGGATCTCTTGCATCAATGAGCCATTCTCGCGGTATTTCTATGCTCTCTTTGTGCGGAGGCCGTCCATCACCAATGGCAAGAAGTGTTTCCGCGAACGCTGCAGCAGTTGGACCTACATTTCAGACACGCATATTGACTGTAAGGTGCAACACCTGGACATCCGCCCAAAAAGGTGCAGACCGGATGCACTCTCCGGCAACCTCAGATCGTGTGCCTTTTTTGACAACAGGCAGCAGCTGGCGAAAGTCACCGCCAAAAACAACAACCTTTCCACCAAAGGGAACACCCTCGTACACAGGATCGACAGCACCCATGATATCACATAATGCCTTGTCAACAGCCTGAAAATTGTACTTGCTACACATTACAGCTTCATCCCAAATAACTAAAGATGCTTGTTGTATGAGATGTGCGTGTGGACCACCAAGTCGAAGATTGCAAGTAGTAGTATCGTCTGCATTGATCGGTATTTTAAAACGGCTGTGAGCTGTGCAACCACCGGGAAGCAGAATTGCAGCAATGCCAGAGGAAGCAACAGGCAGTGCAATCTGATCTCGCGAACGAACACGACTTAACAACGTCTTGAACAGCAGTGACTTGCCGGTACCTCCAGGGCCATTGACAAAGAAAAGATGTGGCTGGTTTTGGTCACCTGGTTCGTCAACTGCCTGCATTATTGCATTGAATGCATGTCTTTGATTGTCGTTAAGTGTGGGGAACAATTCGTTGTGAATTCGAGTTTGCTCTTCTGTGACATACTCCCCACGTTCGACTGCTTCTAGAGCAGTGAGCTGTGGAAGAGCATCGAGTTCGGTGACAAAGTCTTGTGGTAAAGAAGGAAACTCGGAAAGGCGGTGACCTGTGGATTGTAATCGTGTTTCAATGTCGCCAAGAGTACGCTGGAATACTTGGTCCCATTGATCAGGTACCAACTCGGTCTCATTATTCGGAAGTTGAACGTGCATTTCGAAAAAGTAATCGTCGCTCAATCTTTCGCGATGATTATCCCAGAGTCTGCGTGGATCAGAAGGCGAGCAGTTTGTAAGAATATAGACGAAGAGTTCTCGAAGCGCTGCAGCTGAAGGTGAATGGATAGATGCCTCAGTCATGCAACGATCCCATTCGTTATCGGATTCCAACAAACCATGTGCGAGAGCGGCAGCTTCAAAGGATGGATGCACGACATCATTCAACGTTCTTAACGACTCAAAACTGATAGGACCACGAACAGTAAGTAAGAGCAATCGAAGCGAATACAATGCCATATTAGACGGGGACGCGAAGTAGATGCGAGAAACAACATTTTGAAAAGGTGGACGGGTGCGGCGGTTCCAGGTCTTCGTTCGCTTATCCCAAGTATAATGGCAAGGAATCTCAACGTAAAGATATTGCCGAGCCTCTTCATCTCGAGAAC